ATTTCAACTGCTAAAATATTAGACTGTATCATTTAGATTATGAGTTCAATTGAATCTAAAACTGCGTAAACCCCCTTTCCCCCCTAGGGATGCGTTTCCTATAAATAAACCAGAGTTCACACCCACTCTTTTTAACCAGAGCTCTCCACTCCCTCTCTGCGGTACCAGCTGCAATCTTTCCCTGCACATCCCGAGGTCTCTCTTCCTCTCCATGTTTCTGAGTGTCACCAGAGCTGCTCCCATCCCGGAAAAACAAAGGCTCTCTGCTCACCACGCACACCAACTTCAGTCCCACACACATAGCATGAATTCACCAACTCCGCAAGTGTTAAAATCAACCACTAACCTACAGTTACTCCATCATCGTTCTCTCCAGCTTTCTGTAATACATTGTTAATAATTGCTTCATCAAGGTTACTGTCTTTTATTATGAAGATGCTTCAGGCGTTTGGCAATAAGTCCATATTCTGACAATAAGCTGCTCTAAAGCACAAGCATTGGAAACTCTCATATGCTAACCTCCTTCTTTAATGCAATGTAGTATTGCCAATAATTCTCATCACTTGTCATCCCCGCCACAGGGGAGGGGGGAGGAGAGCAGCAAACTTTCTCCCTAACTTTCTTCTCTGTTTTCCTGTGTTGCTGCATAGACTACAGAGTTGGCAAAGAAGGACAAAAAGCACTGAGCACCACACCAAACAGTTTGCTGCCTTCCCGAGTCGCCTGGACCAGCAAATTTTACCAACCACTGCAAACTCACGGTTGGAAACAGAAGGCAAGTTTCGCATTTTTACAACTTTAGAAACTGAGAGGGAAGGCCTGAAGGTGGGATCCAACCTTAGTAAAGGTGGAAACAGTACCAACAAACAACAGCCACAGACAATGAAACCAGGGACCGGTTCTCTGAACAACTTGAAAGTGTCAGAAAGTGCCATGAAGAAATCAGAAGGACTTACATGGTCGGCTAAATTTGTGGAAGATCCTGAGAGTTCCTCATGGTCTGACTTGGAGCTGCCATCCCTTTCATCGATAACGAGGTCTATTGGCATTTTTCCTTTCAAACAACTAATGTACCGATGGCAGAAGTTATCGCACAATTCGTGAACCTGAAAGCAGCAACAGGAGTGATAGCATCAGTAAGGGCAAGCTATCGGATTGCAGCTCTTTTTGGGAGCAAGAACACATTCTGAGCTCCTCCACGAGTAACTCTAATTAAGGGGCACAATAGTTGAAGGCAAGGAAACAATAGAGGAATTGTTGCAGCGCATATTATTCTCCTGAGACTTGCCGCAGCAACAAGTTACAGAGAGAGAGATAGTGTGCTCAGCCCGGCGTGCGGGGCAAACCCGATGTGCCGCTCTCCCAGCGGAAGGAGCCGCAGTCCGGCGGTAATTCCGGGCCGGGCCAGCTACGAGCTCAGGACCGTGGGGCTCGGGAATGGGCCCGGTCAGTCCGGGGAGAGCTGGCGAGGTTCTGGGAAAGGCGCTCCCGGCGTGGGCACAGCCCCTCCCGCACCATGCAGGGCCCCCTGCCTCCTCCAAACATTTACTGCTCGTTTGGGGTTAATGCGCCTGGCGGAGCGGGAGGGAAGCGGGAGGGCTTGCATTTCTCTTTTGGTTAAACATAGCGTTTCCGAGTCAGGAAAAGAGCTTCTGCCGAGAGAAGGGGTAAGGAGGATGTCAGGGGTTTAATAATGTATAGATTTAATGACTCGGTTGAAATTACACAGAACAAAAAAATGCCGGGCCGGGCTGGGCATGGCTGCCGGTGTCACATGCTCCGGTGGCACAGGTTATGGTGTCACCCAGCGCTCCCTCACTCCCGGCCGTGTGCCCGCTCAGTCCAGGGCAGGGACAGGGGACGGCCTGCACCAATCCCAGTGCCTCTTACCTTCTCTAACTCCAGGAGGTGGAACCTTAGTACTTGTATTGCTTGGATCATCTGCAAGAGAGTTGGAGCAGGGGTTAGGTGGGAGAGAGGAGCTCGGGGGTGCGACCCGAAAGGTGTTGGGGGAGTTGTCAGGGCGGTGGTCGTTCCCATGGATCTCAACCCCTCCGTCACGCCTGAGCGATATGAATCAGCTTTATCCCGAGTACTCGGTTTCTATCAGATTGAATCGAGGTGAGGGGTGAAGCAGAGACTCTTCCTCTGCTCTAGGAGGGGCCGTGGAGGGCCGAACACACGCTCTCACCCCCCCACCGCCCGGGGAAGAAAGGGGAGGAGGGAGATGAATAGTTTGGCGTCTTCTTTACAAGAGGATTTAGGCACTTTGAATATTGAAATCGTTCACATTAGCAAAAGAATTAACGCTAGAAATCTCCAGCTCCCTCTTCTTAAGCAGTTATTTCCTTCACTTTGGCTTCCCGCGGCTTCTAAGCCCGCTTCGCGGCACGCCAGGGCCGGAGCGTTTGCCCCGGCTCGCCCCGAGCGCGGCCCTCAGAACCCCTCAGGGAGGCGGGAAGCCCTCCCGGCCCGGCCGCCTCCTGTCCCGCTCGGTGGGCGCTGTCCGGGACTAGGGGCGGGCGGAGGACGGCGGGCGCAGGGGTGAGGCCTTACCAAATTGTCCAACTCTGGGTTTGAAGAAAAAAGTGGTTTTTCAGCGCGGACCTACGAGAAGAAGGAAAAGCGGCGTGGGTTGTGGCTTCTTCCTCCAGCCCTAGGGATCCCCTCTTTGCAGCCTCCCCCCTATCCTCATCCACGGCCCCTTCCATCGGGCACGGGGTGAGGACCCGGCCCGGAGGGCACCCGCCGCCCCCTCCCGCCCCCACCGAGGGGGGCCCCGGGGGGAGCGGTGCCGGACCTGCTTGGCGAAGACGGCGATGTCCTCGTTGAAGGAGTCGGAGGAGCAGACGTCCCCGCCGGCCACGCCGGGCTCCCGGGGCGTGCAGGTCGCCAGCTCGCACTTCTCAAAGACCAGGGCGAGGAGGGGAAACAGCGGGTGCCTACCGGGCAGTGGCACACAAAGGGCGGGAGGGGGGTGGGGGAGAGGGGGGAAGAAGAGCTCTGATCAACAAGTAATTTGGAAACGCACGGACACGCACGGACACGCGGACACGCTCTGCAGACTCCCAATATCGCTTCGGGAGGAGCGGGGCAGAAGCCCATTTTAAAATGAAAACGTGGTTTTTGCGGGTTTGGGGTCTTGTTTCTTTCGGCAACCGCGAAAGCCCCAACGCATCCCATGTGCAGCCCCCGCAGCCGCGGACAGAGTGCCCGGCCCAGCGCCTCGCTCCTCTCCCAGGAACCTCCTCTCTGCACCGCGGTTTAAAATAACGCGAAACGCGGAGTTCCCAGCCCTCCTCTCCAGCTATGACCTACAGGGCGCACCGCGGGCAGGCAAACTGCGAACCGCTCGGAACGGGATTTTATTTTCGCAAGGGGCCTGCTAGTAGCACTGCACTAAAGTTCCCTGGCCTCGCAGCACCCGGGGCCAAACAGCAGTGTCCGAGCAGGGCGCGGGGAGGGGGCAGGGGGCGGCAGCGCTTCGCCGAATATTTTCCCATAGTTGGTGCAGTCAGGAAAAAATATCTGATCTGCGTGCTGAGCATGAGGACTCTGCTGGTGTGCTCTCTTGTTTGGGTCTGAGCAAGGCCCACACTCCACCGCGCACCGCACTCTCTCCTTCGGGATAATTGGGGGTTTCTTTTAAAAAGGGAGTACTCGGTGCCCCCCGGCAGCGCACGAGGCCGCACTGCTCTTCCTCCCCGCACCCTTTCTCTGCTCCACACAGAGCTCCACGCTGCCACCAATGCTCACTGCTCCCTTCTCGGGAAAGAACAGCTCGTGGGCAGCGAATCCCTCCTGTTTCGCCCGTGATCAGAGCAGCCCTTTATTTACAGCACAGTATTGTGGCACGGAGTAAAGCACCAACACTACACTTCTTCCACCCAAACTCAGAACACCGCGAGCCTGAAGTGCTGCCCTGGCCTTCGGAGCGAGACAAAAAAAAAAAACTCACAAAAAAAAAAAAAAAAGAAAAAAAAAAAAGGAAAGAAAGAAAAAGAAAGAAAAGAGAAGAAGAGAAAGAAAAAACAAAGCAGGGGGCAAAAAAATAAAAAATAAAAAATCAACCAGGGCAGCACCTCCGGGGCCTTCCTCGCGCGGTGCCCCGCAGCCGCCTCCCGGGGCGCTGCCACCGCAGCCGGGCCCCGGCTCCGCGCCCCCACCGCGCCACTCCGGCCCCGGGGCGCTCCCCCGGCGCCGCTCCGCGCTGCCCTCCCGCTGCCGGCCCGGGCCCTGCTGTGCCTACCCGTAGATCGCATCCTTGTCCCGCTTCAGAGCGTCGTTGACAGCGGAGCCCATGCTGGCCGGCATGACGTTGGGGTGCGGGGCGTGGGCGCCGTAGTGCTGTCCGGCATGTAGCGGCGGCCCATGGTTGAGGTGGTGCACCGGAGGGATCGGCCGGGGGGCGTGCGGGTCCCCGTACATGGACGCCGGCACCCCTACGCCGTCCATCCCGCCGTAGTGGGGTAGCTCATCGTACTGTCAGCGCGGGCCGGAAGAAAGAGAGAGGGAGAAAGAGGGGAAGGGAGGGGAAGAGGAGGGGGGGATAAAAAAAAAACAAACAAACAACAACAACAAAAGTCAGAAGAGAGTGGAGCACCCGGCCAGGCGCCAGCAAAGCACAACAACCCTGGAACAGCCGTAACGGAGAGAAGGGAACGTGCGGAGGGATCGGCCCGGAGCGGAGCCGGGGGGGCTGAGCGGGGCGCGGAGTGCGAGAAGGAGAGAGAGGGGAGAGCGCTGGGGTGCGGGGTGCGGGGCCGCCCGCGGCGGGGGCAGCCCGGCCGGGTCGCGGGGAAGGAAGGAAGCGAGGGGAGAAGCCAGAGCCGCTCCGCGTTAGGAAGGAAGGAGAAAAAAAAAACCCATATGAAGGAATAAAGAAGCAGAATCCGAAGCGGCTCGAGAAATAAATCAGCGCCGGGAAGGGGAGAGCAGAGGTAGGGTGCATCGGAGGGGGCGGGAGGTAAAGGGGGAAATAATCGGAAAGTTACCAGAAACATTATTTAGCAGCAATTCCCCTTGTCTTGTCAAAGCCAGAGACAAAAAAAAAAAAAAAAAAAAAAAAAAAAAAAGCAGCCGCTCTATATGCACACATATATCCACGCCCGTATATGTGCACACCCGGCCGCAGCGCTTCCCGAGGCAGCGAGCCGGGAGCGGAGCGGCGCTGCGGGGAACGGCTGCGACGAGCGAGAGTGGAACAACCGCGAGGAGAGGCACACGCACAGCACTCACGCACACGCACGGCAAGCGCGGGGATCACCCGGGCTCTGCTGGCTAACAGGGGCCGCCATCAGCAGCAGCACCGGCGGAGAGCAAATCGGACAGGCCCCTCTTAGGGAGGATTTATCTATAGGTAAGGGTTGGAGATTTAAACCTACCCTTTGCGCCATCAGTCTGCGCTCCAATAAACTCCTGGATGTGCCGTATATTTAATATCCCAGTGTCCCAGTCCAGCAAAGAAAGTGATTTAGAGTGAAGAAGAGTCTTTTTTTTTTTTTTTTTTTTTTTTTTTTTTTTTTTTTTTTTTTTGCCACCCACTTACAGACTTCTCCTATCCTCCGGTACGGGGAAATACCACCACCACCACCACCAGCAACGAGAACGCACAAAAAACAGCCAGCAAACACGATGAGTTTCTGTGTATTTCTTCTTTTTTCTCTCTCTTTCCTTTTTCTTTCTCTTTTTCCTTTTTTCTTTCTCTACGTATCAAAAAAAAAAAAAAAAAAAAAAAAAAAAAAAAAAAAAAAAAAAACCACACACACGGTCAAGCCCCCACCGTGCGGGTTACGATCGGCCCGTCAGCAGCCCACATGGAACCGAACTGTCGTGTCTCATGGCTTTTTGCCACTCCAGCTGTCAATCAAAGCCAGGGAATGTCAAGGTAGTGAATGAGTGATGGTTGATGATGATGAAGAAGAGAGGAGGAATCTTTTTAACCCCGGTTTCTTCTTCCAGTAACTCCGCGCTCGGGTTTTGCCTTTTAGGATCGCTACAGGGTTGGTTTTTTTTTTTTGTTTTTTTTTTTTAAGTACTGTGAAGGGGGGTGGGGAAAGATGCGAAGAAAAATGGAATAGTTTGCAAAGCGCGGACTGCCCCCTCTCTCCTTTTTTCCCGGTAGGTATTTTGTCTCCCTCTCTCCCCGCGCTTGGAGATGAGCGAGTGTCAGTGAGTGCTGGCAGGTTGGCTGCCGGCTGCCTTATAGAAGAGGCTCAGTTTTGCAGCGCTGATCGGCGGGAGAATGAAGTGACGGAACCCGGAAGTGGCGGTGGCCATAGCCAGTCCTGCAGCGCGGCGGCGGCGGCGGCGGCGGCGGGGAGCGGCGGCGGCGGGAGCGGGGCGCGGCGGCGGCGGCGGCGGCGGCGGCGGCGGCGGGGAGAGGCTGCGGGGAGCGGCGAGCGCGGGGTGGCCCCGGCCGGCGGAGCGCCGCGGATGGCAGCGCCCGGCGGGGCGGCTGCAGCGCCGCGCGGGGGGAGCCGCGCACAGCCCCTGCCCCGAGCGAGGCAGCGCGTGTAGGAAGGAGAGAGCGTGCGAGAGGGAGGGAGGGAGCGGGGAGGGAGGGAGCAGGGAGGGAGGGAGGCAGGGGAGGAAGGACGGGGAGAGTGCGTGTGTGCGAGAGGGGGGAGAGGCAGGGGAAAACTGCGGAGAGCGAGAAGAAAAGTGCGATAGGAGCCCGGCCCCGGGTTGGTTTGCGCTAGATTCTTTTAGCACCGAAATACCTTCCGATGAACCGCGATGCTCAGGCTCTGATTTACGCGCTGCATTATTTATGGGGCTCTCCGGCTCCCGCCGCCGCCGCGAGGGGTGCGCAGGGGGCGCGGGGCTGCGCTGCTGGAGGCGGTGGGCGTAGGGGGTGGGGGGGGAGGAAGGAGGGCGTCCCGCGCGGGCGCTGAGCGTGGCTACGAATGAACCGTCCGGGCACGGGGAGAGCGCGTTGGGCACCGCTCCGCGTGGGGTGATCGCAACTCTCAAGAGCTGAGGATGGCTCGGGAGGGGGAGGGAGCGGAGGGAAGGGGAATCCCTTTCTGGGCTGCGAACGGAGCGTGGAAGAGGGGCTCGAAACGGAGGTCAGTTCGGCTCTGCCGGGAGAGACCCAGATGTGCCGCGGCCGCTGTACGCGTTCCCTCCGAGCGGAGCCGGCGGGCAGAGGCGGACTCGCGTGGACGCGTCCGTAGACTTTGCCGTACCTCGACGGGATGCGCGCCGGGTTGTGATCCCGGTAATGCCTCTAACGGGAGCGCTAATTACAGGAGGACGATTTGGCAAATGAAGTGAGAGGATGCACCCCCAGCCCCGAGCACCAGATGAACTTTTCCAAACACACACGCACACACGCGGTAATTTTGGTATGCTCCCTCGGCCAATCGCCGCGCTCAGCCCGAGCATGCCTTACCCTAGCGCAGTCAATTACCGGCGCTCCCCGGGCTCATCAATCACGGGGCGCCTCCAGTGAGGGGAGGAGCGAGCCTCCGACTATCGATCGCTGCAGTTTTGTCCTCCCCAGCCCCCAGCCTCGTTCACGGTCCCCTGCACATAAAATCTAAACCAGACTATCCCGTTAATAGCGGGATTTATCAATGATTGTGTACCCGGTGGTGAATGTGGCCTCGTACATAGGTGGCTTTTAGAAATACACGGCAGAAAAAAATAAGAACGATGTGATTTATTCGGGTAGGGGTTGGCGTGTTTTGCATTGCTTTTCAGGATGAGAGTGACGATTTTAACTTTTTTCTTTTTTTCTTTTTTTTTTCTTTTTTTTTTTTTAACTTTAAGAAAATGACTCGGGGGCAGTTGCAGATATTTGGCCTGATTTTAATAGGCGCGGGGAATGAGCTCCAGAGGTCAATAAACCCCTCCAAAATGATGAATGATTGAGTACCTGTGATGATGATAGTGATTACCGGAGCAATTAAACAGTTTGATTAAATGAGCCATCATAACAATGATGTCTGCGGGAAATCAGCCCTCACATATAAAGAAAGATAGCGTGGGGCTGACGGACGCCAGTGGGCATCCCCCGAGCTCCAGCAGCACCCGGCCCGGCGGCTGCGGGCTGGAGAAGGGGAGAAGTGGCCCCGATGTCGGCCCCGGTGTCGGCCGGAGCTGCCCTCGTTCGCTGCCCGGAGCCGGGCTCGACCCCGCAGTGCTTTTCTGAGAGGATCTCCTCCGAGATTAAAGCTAAATCCTAAGAGCAACCGAATGGCTGCGCCTGGCTTTCCCGGGACTGGGAGGAGAGGTGAGTAGAAAGCCCTCAGTATGGAGATCTCTTTTGAGCAGTGGTGAAGTCGTTGCGTTTCGCAGGGAAAAGAGGGGACGCTCGTGCAGTATTTTATACTCTGTCGTATAAATCGGGAACGTAATTCAGGATATTCATGGTAATGAATGCTCGACTAATCCTTTGGGTGCGCGGAGACCTACAGAGCAGGAGGTTATGCAAATCTTTTCCTACTTTTACAGCTGTACATTTCGAACAGATTTTTAAGAGATCTGCTCAGCGGTGAATGCTATTTGTTTTTTATGATTATTTCTTTTTCCTTCTCTCTTCCCCCACTACCCAACCCCCCATTCCGCCACTAGGATGCCCGATTTCCAAACTCCCGAGGCATCCCTTCATGGCGACGCAGCCCATGCGGGAAGCTCAGGGACGTGTTGTAAATATTTGCAGCTCCCAAACGGATTTTGCAGCCGTGCCCCCTGCTGTGCCCGAGTGCGCCTCGCTCCGAGAGGGTCGGTGGCACAGAGAAGGGCTCTGTCCCTGGCGCGCGGCCGTGCAACAGTAATCCGGTCCCTCTGAGGGCTCCGCGTTTGCTCAGATCTCAGACTGGGGAGAACTTCACCACTCTTCTTCTCAAAGAGAAGTTTTTTCACAACTTTGCTCCCATAGCAGAAGGCACGTCATTGTTTAGGATATCATTTTAGATTTCTTTTTTTAATTATTCTGTTTTTCACAGGAGCTCCTTTAAGTCCCGATTCTTCGGAGCAGGGAATTGTTAGAGAGCAATGTAAAATCCAAGATGTAAAAAAAAAAAAAAAAAAAAAAAAAGCAGCCAAAGATATTTTTTTTCTTCTGTTCTGTGCAGCTCCTTTCATTTACTCAGTTTTGCTTTTATTTTTTTTTTTTTTCCCCAAACCAATGACCCCCCCCGCACTATCTCGACCGCTTGTGTGTGGGACAGGGACCAACTTTTCAAAATGATTTTAACTCGAGAGAAAGTGAAATTTCATCTGGCAAACGGAGGGCTTTCATGTTCCTCTTGCTCTTATGGCTTTTTTTTTTTTTTTTTTTTTTTTTTTTTTTTTTTTTTTTTGAGTCGAAGCCTTTTTCCTCTGCACTATCCCAGTGGATTAAGGCACGCAGAGAATGCGGTTATAAGCGCTACAGTTTGACTATTAAAAGAGAATGTCAATGTAGCACCCTTCAGTGAAAGTACGCAGCTCTAACAAAGATGCTTTGGGGAGCTCAGAGGGAAATGGGATCCGTGCACCCAGGGCTGGGGGGCTTCTACGTCCTCAGGTCATTTTAAATTTACTTTTTAATTTTTTTTTTTTAATTTTTATTTTCAGCGTTGTGACATATTTCTTTTAAAACACAGTAATTCGGGAAAATTAAATTGGCCAATTTCCATTTCTCGTGCATCACTTTCACGGCAGAGGCTGTTCCCAGGACAAGTGTGAGTGGTGAGGTGATGCGGTGTGTGCTGGGCTTTTTTTATTATTATTATTATTATTTTTTCTTTCTTTCTTTTTTTTTCTTTTTTTTTCTTTTTTCTTTTTTCTTTTTTTCTTTTCAGATCGGCCCCAAAGTCCAAAGAGAAATGAGGTGTCCGGTGTGGAAGTGCATCTCAGTCAACAGCCAGCTCCTTTGGCAGGGGCTGGAAATGGTTTTAACAGGCGGTAAAATTTCATCTTGTGGTGTCAAATTGGGGTCAGTTTGGGGTTAGCGCTCTCAGTGTCCGAGAAGGAGCTGTCCAGCTGTGTGGGGATTCATTAAGGGCAAAAGATCCGTTTCAAGAAAAACAATACAAAGACAATCAGAGAGCTAAAGATCCTCTTCAAATCGCATTTTACAAGTGCACCAGAACAAATATGGACGCTGAAACCTATTCCCTTCAAACTCCCAAATCGGCTTCTTAGCCTTCGGAGGGAGGGAAAATCCGCTGCAGCCCGGCCGGGTCTGCTTCCAATCACCGCCCCGAGGTGCGCCGGGCCCCGCGCCGCCCTCACCCGCTCCCCTCTCCCTTTCGGCACAGCGCTGCGGAGCGATGGCACCACAACAGGTAACATCCCGGAATGTGTCTCCCGGTGTGTTTGAGCCACTGCTGTGTGTGTGCCCGTGGGCGTGCAGCGGGAGCTTCAGTGCGGATAGGAAGTTTTTTTTCGAGGGGACAAACTGTGCTTGTATGAAACCCGCTTGTATCCTTCCGAAATGTCCCGCAGCCCTCTCAAGAAGCGCTGGGCTCTGATAGATAACGCGGAGTGGATGTGCCGTGCGGTTCCCAGCATCTGTGGGAAGCACCTATTGCTGATCTGGTTTATTAAATTCGCGTGGTTTAAATCCTCTTAGCGCCCCTACATCAGTTAGAACAATTGACGCCTTGCTGCAGGGACAAATAACTCTGGCCGTAATCTCGTTTGTAACTTTATTCAATGTTTGTTTGTTTGTGCGCGGAGTTCGAGTATTTGGGGCGATGCCATTGCATTCGGGAATATACCGCGTACATTTAGAGACAGAGCCGGAATGGATGGGCTGAGGGCAGAGCAGAGCGGAACGAGTAATTCCGAATATTGGAAGTAGCATTTTATCCCGAACCATCGTTCTAGGAAACGTGTCAGAGTTAATGAAGAAAGCAGTCTATGTGTTAATGCGTCTTCGGGCTTACAGCATAACCAGGCTCCTGTGCAAAATCCACGGGATTTGTTCTTTCTGCTTCTCTCCCAAGACAACGCGTGGGGTGCAGATAGCACCTCTGCGGTTTTGGAGTCAGGATTATTCTCCAGCTCAGACTCCCACCTCTGAAATCGCCCTTTGCACACTCTCCCTGCTTGACTCTTACGGCCACTTCTGTCTCTCTCAGCCCACCTCGGCCCTCTGACCTCCCTTCCCGGGCTTCCGCAGCCGCCCGGCTCCCAGGTCCTGTCCCGGCCGCCCCGGCGGAACGCCGCAAGTCTGAGCTCCTCGGATCGCCGGATTCATGGAGG